TATCTGAGGTTATTGATATTTCTCCTGGCAATCTTGATTCCAGCTTGTGCTTCTTCCAGCCCAGGGTTTCTCATGATGTACTCTGCATATAAGTTAAATAAGCAGGGTGACAATATATAGCCTTGATGTACTCCTTTTCCTATTTGGAACCAGTCTGTTGTTCCATGTCCAGTTCTAACTGTTGCTTCCTGATCTGCATACAGGTTTCTTAAGAGGCAGGTCAGGTGGCCTGGTATTCCCATCTCCTTCAGAATTTTCCATAGTTTATTGTGATCCACACAGTCGAAGGCTTTGGTGTAGTCAATAAAGCAGAAATAGATGTTTTTCTGGAACTCTCTTGCTTTGTCTATGATCCAGTGGATATTGACAACTTGATCTCTGGTTCCTCTGCCTTTTCTAAAACCAGCTTGAACACCTGGAAGTTCTCGGTTCACTATTGCTGAAACCTGGCTTGGAGAATTTTGAGCATTACTTTACTAGCATGTGAGATGAGTGCAATTGTGCAGTAGTTTGAGCATTCTTTGGGATTGCCTTTCTTAGGGCTTGGAATGAAAACTGACCTTTTCCAGTCCTGTGACCACTGCTGAGTTTTCCAAATTTGCTGGCATATTGAGTGCAGCACTTTCACAGCATCATCTTTCAGGATTTGAAATAGCTCAACTGGAATTCCATCACCTCCACTAGCTTTGGTCATAGTGATTCTTCCTAAGGCCCACTTGACTTCACATTCCAGGATGTCTGGCTCTAGGTGAGTGATCACACCATCGTGATTATCTGGGTCATGAAGATCTTTTTTGTACAGCTCTTCTGTGTATTCTTGCCACCTCTTCTTAATATCTTCTGCTTCTGTTAGGTCCATACTATTTCTGTCCTTTATTGAGCCCATTTTTGCATGAAATATTCCCTTGGTATCTCTAATTTTCTTGAAGAGATCTCTAGTCTTTCCCATTTTGTTGTTTTCCTCTATTTCTTTGCATTGATAGCTGAGGAAGGCTTCTTATCTCTCCTGGCTAGGCTTTGGAAATCTGCATTCAAATGGGAATATCTTTCCTTTTCTCCTTTGCTTTTCGCTTCTCTTCATTTCACAGCTATTTGTAAGGCCTCCTCAGACAACCATTTTGCCTTTTTGCATTTCTTTTCCATGGGGATGGTCTTGATCCCTGTCTCCTGTACAATGTCACGAACTTCCGTCCATAGTTCATCAGGCTCTCTGTCTATCAGATCTAGTGCCTTAAATCTATTTCTCACTTCAACTGTATATTCATAAGGGATTTGATTTAGGTCATACCTGAATGGTCTAGTGGTTATCCCTACTTTCTTCAGTTTAAGTCTGAACTTGGCAATAAGGAGTTCATGATCTGAGTCAGTCAGTTCCCGGTATTGTTTTTGCTGACTGTATAGAGCTTCTCCATCTTTGGCTGCAAAGAATAAAATCAGTCTGATTTTGATGTTGACCATCTGGTGATGTCCATGTGTAGTCTTCTCTTGTGTTGTTGGAAGAGGGTGTTTGCTGTGACTAGTGCGTTCTCTTGGCGAAACTCTATTTTAGCCTTTGCCCTGCTTCATTCTCTACTCCAAGGCCAAATTTGCCTGTTACTCCAGGTGTTTCTTGACTTCCTACTTTTGCATTCCAGTCTCCTATAATGAGAAGGACATCTTTTTTGGGTGTTAGTTCTAAAAGGTCTTGTAGGTCTTCATAGAACCATTCAACTTCAGCTTCTTCAGTGTTACTGGTTGGGGCATAGGCTTTGATTACCGTGATATTGAATGGTTTGCCTTGGAAATGAACAGAGATCATTCTGTCATTTTTGAGTTTGCGTCCAACTACTGCATTTCACACTCTTTTGTTGACTATGATGGCTACTCCATTTCTTCTAAGGGATTCCTGCACACAGTAGTAGATATAATGGTCATCTGAGTTAAATTCACACATTCCAGTCCATTTTAGTTCGCTGATTCCTACAATGTTGACATTCACTCTTGCCATCTCCTGTTTGACCACTTCTAATTTGCCTTGATTCATGGACCTAACATTCCAGGTTCCTATGCAATATTGCTCTTTACAGCATCAGATTTTGCTTCTATCAGCAGTCCCATCCACAACTGGGTAGTGTTTTTGCTTTGGCTCCATCCCTTCATTCTTTCTGGAGTTATTTCTCCACTGATCTCCAGTAGCATACTGGGCACCTACCAACCTGGGGAGTTCCTCTTTCAGTATCCTATCATTTTGCCTTCTCATACTGTTCATGGGGTTCTCAAGGCAAGAATACTGAAGAGGTTTGCCATTCCCTTCTCCAGTGGACCACATTCTGTCAGACCTCTCCACTATGACCCGTCTGTCTTGGAAGGACCCGCACAGCATGGCTTAGTTTCTTTGATGTAGACAAGGCTGTGGTCCTGTGATCAGATTGGCTAGTTTTCTGTGATTATGGTGTCAGTGTTTCTGCCCGCTGATGCCCTCTCGCAACACCTACCATCTTACTTGGGTTTCTCTTACCTTGGACGTGGGGTATCTCTTCACAGCTGCTCCAGCAAAGCGCAGCTGCTGCTCCTTACCTTGGACGAGGGGTATCTTCTCACGGTCGCCCCTCCTGACCTTGAACAGTTGTCACCAAATGCACCTAGGAAGGGACCCGTGAGTGATATCTCACTGAGTATTAACCAGAAGTTTCCTCCAGGCCACTTTCTCTCTCTCCCCTGGCCTCCCACACCTACTTGCATTTACTGCATTAAGGCAGTACTGCTTCTCAGGACAGTCGTTGGCAGGTCTGTCTCTTCCACTTTACCATGAGCTCCTCAAGGCCAGGCTCAGGATTGCATTATTTTTAGACCCTCAGAGCTTTCTCCAGTGCCTCAGTAACTGGTTGGTGAAGTAGTGGATAAATGATTCTTGAAAGAGTCTCTATGATGTGCTGCGACCCTTCGCTGCTTCAGTCAGTCATAATTCAATCAAAGGAATGAGGACTTCAGAAGCATCTGTCACGAAAGAGGGTCTCGCTATTCACTCTGCAGAAAATTGACTTAATATTTTAGAGCAGTTTGAGGTTCATAGAAAAACTGAGCAGAAACTATTGAGTGTTCCCAACCGCCTTCTGCCCCTGCTAGTGCAAAGCTGTCTGCATTGTTGACCTCCTGACCTCCCGCACCTTAGAGGTGCATTTGTTATCATCGATGAACCTTCACTGACATTGTTATCGCCCAAAGGATGTGTTTCCATTAGGGTTCACTCTTTGTGTTGTACTTTCTGTGAGTTTTGACAAATGTGCAATAAGTATCCACAATTACAGAATTGTCTAGAATAGTTTCATTGCCTCCCAAATCCTCTGTGCTGCATCCATTCATCCCCACTGGCAACCACTGATCTTTTTAATGTCTTCATAGTTTTGTTTTTGCCAGAGTGTCATAGAGTTTGGAATCATGAAGTACACAGACTTTTCAGATTGTCTTCTTTCACTTGCTAATATACAGTTCAGTTTTTTCTATGGCTGTTCATGGATTGACAGCTTGTTTCTTTGTAATGCTGAATAAAATTAGAAGATTCTTCCCAACATCAAGGTGTGGTACTTAGCGCCAGGCCAGACACTGAATATGGATGCCTTGTACTTTCTATCAATAGGTTTCCTAGGAGCCTCCTCCTCATCCTGCCAGTCGCACAGAGCCATTCTCCTGCTGCAACTCAGGTCTGTCTTCCGTAGCCATCTGCAATAGGGACTTGTCAGGGGTGAAATGAAAAATTTTATCATTATCTCTAATTTTTCTCTATGTCTCAGTCATTGAAGGTTTCACATTTAGGGCCATTTGGGTGTCATCAACACATCAGGTTTAAGGAGGAAGGATGATGAATCGTGAATGTTTATGAGAAAACGGCAGCAATTATCACAATGGTAATGAAGAGGGAAGTGAAGATTGGCCCCCTGGGATGTTTCTTGCGAGCCTAGGATGGAGGAGGAAAGTGCTCCAGTGGTCTTGGGTGTTACCACTGCACCAAGATGGATGGAGTATCTTACCCAGCAGGCCTTCCAGATTCATTATTTTTTTTAGAAATATGCCTTGTGGAACCAGGTTTGCAAGTTTTACATCGAGTGAACAGCTATTTCTTATGTTAAGTTATTGCAGCTGTAGAGTAGAGAATTGTTGAAATAAATGGCTGGAGAATTTGAATTGCATTCATTCTTGACATTGGAACTGACAAATAGCTTCATTCCTCCACCGAAATGGAAAGTTTATTACACTGAGATGCAGGCAGGTTCTGGGGAAAGGGGGGGTGTCCACATTTTTAGTGTATCTCTTCTAGGATGCTGTGATAGAGTGAAATCAAATGCTTTTCTAAAATCCTGTCAGTATCCTTATCTTGTCCCATACTCCACATTCGACTGGAAATAAAACCAATTAAAACATTAATTTATATCCAGTATAAAACCCAATCTGGCAGCTGGTTATTACTGTCTGAGCATGGAGTTCTCAGGTGGAACAGAACTGGTAGGTGGTGGAGGCAGCATGAAAACTCAGCATCCAGATGGATTGAGCTGGACCACCTGCCAGGTGGAAACTGCCCACCAGGTACTGGGCACCTCTAAAGAGAAACCATCCAGGCTGGAGACTTGGAGGTGAATACAGCAGGGCTGCAGGGCAGTGGGGCTGCAGGCTTGCTGGGGCGCTGGGATACTCACCCAGATGTTCCTGCTGCAGCTCAGTCCATCCTTCCGATGTGTCATCGGAGGAAATGGAACACAGCGGCTCATCCTCTTTGCACCATCCTTTCCCGTCTTAAAGTCCTTGATCATCCCATCTCCTCATCTTTCCCCCCCAACTCATCAAAGGCCTGCACATCTGAAGACTTCATGAATTATAACTTACCCAACTCCAGGCTGAAGAACAGCAACCCCATTCACTCTGTTGACTTAATGCTGATCGTTGGTTGATAAAGTCCTTGATAAAAGGGCTCGCACATATGGAAAGCGCAGATTTCTTCTTCCTGCCTCCTGGGTATCCAGTGCCCATCATCCTCCTGCTTCCAGGCAGGAATTCCAGTGCAGAGTATGTTCGTCAGCGTAGCCTATGGGGAACATTATGGGTACTTCTTGCCGCTTCTGTTTGAGCTGTGACAGCTGGGGAGCGGGGCTAGGCCCTGAGAGCCAAAACCTGTTGCTGCAACTGGAATTTGGCCTTGACTGTTCAAGAATATCCTGGCTCAGGACCACTGGGGTCCCCTGTCCCATGGCGCTTGAGAGAAGTCTTCTGCAGACTTAGGGATTCAAAAAGAACCTTATCAGAGGAGTGTGTTATGTATTTTCTACAAGAACTTCAGTGTTCTGTGGGCAAGATAATAAAATGTTGATAGTATGGTGATGATTTCATGAGTTGAAATTTCCAAGTTATCCAGCTGCTGTGGCTAATGATAGCAGTTATCATCTTAAGCTCTTACTATGGGCCAGTCATTATGGCTTCCCAGGTGGCACTAGTGGTGAAGAGCCCATCTGCCATTGCAGGAGACATGAGAGATGGGGCTTTGATCCCTGGGTCAGGAAGATCCCCTGGAGAAGGGCATGGTTACCCACTCCAGTATTCTTGACTGGAGGATCCCATGGACAGAGGAGTCTGGCGGGCTATAGTCCATGGGGTTGCAAAGAGTCAGACGTGAGTGAAGCGATTTAGCACACCCATAGTCATACCAAGCACTTTAATGCTTCATTTTATTCAATTTTCATATGGTTTAAATTTGCTATACTCTTGTATTCAATGAGTGAATCAGATCACTCTCTTATAACTTTGGTTATACTTACTCTAGGCCCAGTGATGATATGACAGCCAGGGTGGTTGGCTGTCATTTCCAGGGTAAATGTCAATAAAGACATAGGCTCCAAGATGTTCAGAAGCGAGAAGAGAGATTTAAGCTATATCAGTCTGCCAATAAATGGGAGACATAATCCAGCTTTTTTGCTAAAGTGAAAGGAGAGAGTTGTGAGTTGATATCTGTTCTCTGGGAATCTGCTGGCTTTGATGTACAGGGCAGTGTTTATGGATAATTTGCATTCTTCTAATTTCCAATGAACTGTGAACATGGGTGAATAGCTTTTATGGGAAATTAGCTGTGTATGTTTCTGGGGCATGGTGGAGGGATTAGAGCGGACAAAATAAAATGAAGTGTGAATTCTTCAGCTTGATCCACAAGGTCAAAATTCATCCCAAGTCACTACTGCGGTGGTTCTTTTCTGTCTGTGGGATGTGCCTGTCTATTCTTGACTCTGCGTCTCTGTGCATGGTTTTTTGTCCCTGTGTGATCTTGCTCCCTCATACCTGATTTCTTTAAATTTTTATTTTGTATTGGGATAAAGCTGATGAACAGTGTTGTGACAGTTTCAGGTGGACAGCGAGGGGACTCAGCCATACATGTACATGTATCCATTCTCCCTCAAACTTCCTCCCATCCAGGCTGCCACATGACCTTGAGCAGAGATCCGTGTGCTATACAATAGGTCCTTGTTGGTGGTCTATTTTAAATATAGCAGTGTATACCTTTCCATCCCAAACTCTCTAATTGTCCCTTCCCCCTGGCAACCCTAAATTCACTCTCTATGTCTGTGAGTCTCTGTTTTATAAGTTCATTTGTATTATTTCTTTTTAGATTCCACCTATAATGGATGTCACACAATATTTCTCCTTCTCTGTGTGACTTGCTTCACTCAGTATGACAATCTCTAGTATGACCATCCATGTTGCTGCAAATGGTGCTCTTTCATTCTTTTTGATGGCTGAGTAATATTCCTTTGTATAAACATACCACATCTTCTTTATTCACTCCTCTGTTGATGGACACTGAGCTTGCTTCCTTGTCTTGGTTATTGTAAACAGTGCTTCATTGAATGTTGGGATGCATGTATCCTTTCAGATCATGTTTTTCTCTGGCCTCATATTTGATTTCTGATTTCTACTCCCTGTCTTACAAATTATTCCTAATCTGGAAGTCTTTCACCTCCTACTTAGACTTCCTTTTTACCTCTACTCTTTCTTTCCTTCCTTCCTTTTGTTTTTTATTCTTGTTTGTATTATTAAAAATTTGCTCATCACATTGGCCAGTTTTGTGGTTAAGTGTGAAAGCATGTTTCACATATTTTCAATCCCAGCTCTTCCATTTCCTGTCTATATGCCCATGGAAAAGCTCTTTTATTTCTCTGTGCTTCAGTTTCCTCATCTGTAAATAGTACTGTCATTTTTGGATGTTTTTCTTTTCTGTGCAAAAACTTTGAAGTTGAATTAGGTCCTATTTGTTTATTTTTGCTTTTGTTTCCTTTGCTTTAGGAGACAGATACAAAAAAATATTACCATGAGTTATGTCAAAGAGTGTTCTGCCTATGTTTCCTTCTATCAGTTTTACAGTTTTCAGTCTTACATTTAGGTCTTTAATCCACTGAGTTAATTTTTGTTTATGTGAGAAAGTGTTCTAATTTCATTCTCTTACATGTAGCTGTCTAGCTTTCCCAGCGCCACTTACTGAAAGAACTGTCTTTTCTTTGTTGTATGTTCTTGCCTCCTTTCTTGTAGGTTAATTGATCATAAGTGTGTAGATTTATTTCTGATCTCTCTGTTCTGTCCTATTAATCTAAATGTCAGTTTTTGTGCCAGTATCATATTGTTTTGGCCAATCCATGTGGTCAAAGAGTTGGGCTTGACTGAGCAATTGAGCATGCATGCACCCATTTTGATAGGGCTTGCATCACATCTATAGGTTGCCTTGTGTAGTATGGTCATTTTAACAATATATGTTCTTCTAATTCATGATCATGGTATGTATTTCCATCTATTTGTGTTGTCATCAATTTCTTTCATTCACATCTCAAACTTTTTTGAGTATTGATCTTTTACCTCCTTAATTAGGTTTATTCCTAAGCATTTTATTCTTTTTGATGCAATTGTAAATGGGTGTTTTCCTTAATTTCTCTTTCTTTTAGTTCATTATTAGTGTATAGAAATGCAACGGGTTCTGATAGGAAAATTCTATTAAATTTTCAATATTTGTATTGTCAAGGAATTTTCTTGAATGCTAAGATTCTAGGGCCAGCATCCTGGACCAAAGTCCTTACAGTACTATAAAAAGTCCTTACAGAGTCCTTACAATACTAGTCCATAATGCAGGACCCTGAGGCATGGTCAGCTTGCAGTTTCATATTCTGATAAACCATTACCAGTGGGTAGATTTTGAGATTTCATATATAAAGATTCTGAGATTCTGTCACCTCCTTGGGCCTGTGTTTGTTTCAGAATGTGTTCACGTTCAGCTTAAATATGTTTTAAAATTCATATAGGCTTGAATTTATAACAGAACAGGGCCATAACTTTTCAAAAGAAGCTGAATCATAAACACTGGCACGGAGGCGCACTTTTGTTTAAAAGGTAAGCTTAGGCAATATATTGAGATTTCCCTTATCTGATAGGAACTGTGGGGCAAGGTGGGGTGGACTATTGGGCAGAACAAGGTACTGGCTTTCTCTCTCTCCAAAGAAACATGTGTAAGAAGGGCTTGTGATGATATTATATCATTTTATGTTTGTCTTTTACCCATTTGAAGTTTTGGTTGTGATGTGAACTTAGGTGATTCTCTGCTGCAGGACTGGTCTGGCTTCTGGAAGTGTTGTGAAAGTGAAGGGGAGAAGAAAAGATGAATTAGTGTAGGACTGTGAATCTGTGTGTTTGCCCAGGAAAGATGAAAACACCCAAGGTAAGCAGGAAAATCAGATGGTTGGGGATGACAGGATTCACTGAAATGTTTTTTTACAGATGGTTTCTTCAGACTATTACAAGGCACAGAAAATTTATATTAGAGATGAAAGCCTGAGAGGTCTCTGGGTGAAAAAAATACGAAAAAGAGTGAAAGATGAAGACAGATTAAAACAGAATTTTTCAGTGGATCCAAGATGTTTTCTGTAATGAGCAGCACATTCAATTGTCTCTGAGGTTAAGGTTATTTGTTTGCATATGCTTGATGCTTTTGGTATCTGAATGTAATCAGAATTTTGTAATAAACAGACTTATGGTAGACTTAGCAGTTATAAGAAAGGATCATAGCATATGGTTAAGGGTCTGTGTTGTCTTCCCTGCCTAGTTGAAAATGGAGACTTAGCAAGTGGTTAACTAGAACAATGGACCCCTGTTGTCTGCTTGCTACGTGTATCTTGGAATTCTTGAGGCAAGATGAGATTTCCTGTGGGAGTGAATATGGCCTGTCCTGCTGCCGTCTCCCCTTCACACCCAAAGGGGCGCCCTCATTGTTTACCAGGATTCCATCCCAGCCTTCCACAAGCTGAGTCCCAGAGTGCTTAGAAAAGGATCCGTAACAAAAGTCTTTTTAAAATTATATACCCTTGTCAGGAGAATTAGAGCCTCTAAAGAAGAAAGACTGCGAGAGAAAACTGATGAAAATGCTAAAAACTCAGAATTGTGCATCTATGCACAGAGGGGCTTTTAACTGAGGTCTACAGATTTAGCTGAAGTGAAGAAATTATTCAACTCAAGCCTGTGGGGAAAACCAAGCATAGATTAAGCAATGATTGATAAATTAAGTGGGTAATTATTTCTATTTTTTAGAAGTGTTGCTTTAATTGCCTTTCCCTTTAAATGTGGAAGATAGAAGTCATAGGCAGAGTTCAGACAAGTCCTTCAGTGTTTGGCAACCTGAGATTTCCCTGCCGGTCGACTGGTTAAGACTCTACACTTCCAATGCAGGGGGCACAGGCTTGATCCCTGGTTAGGTAACTATGATCCCACATTCTGTGGAGCATGGCCAAAAACAAAAAAAAGTTTGGCAACCTAGTAAAGAATCTACAAGATGTAACTTGGGATGTGAAATGATAGGGATTCCCAGGGGGGTGCTCATCCCTAGGAAAGAGGAACCTGGCCTACAGTCTTGAACTGTGTTCAACAGAGGGTCTCAGGGTCTTAAAGGGGAGTGATTCTGAGCACAGTGCAGTGTCTGCTGCATGGATGTGTAGGAGCACAGAGCATGTAGCACCCCCGCCGTAAATGCCCCAGGTTCTGCTCTGTGTCCTCTGAAGAGAACTGAGTGCAGAAGTGAAAATGGAGCAGACTCCCTCATTGGTACTTTCTCACGACTTGGAAGCACCAGGGCATGGCCTTGCTGTCATTCTGGCCAAGTCTACTCAAGGGTGGCACTGGGGCTCTCTTACTTCTCAGACAAAAACAATCTTGCAACACTGATATTTTA